AAGTTATATAGAAAATTGAAAAGGTTAATAAGATATGGAATGGTATGTAAAATGAATATGAATTTGAACTTGTGTCTGTATCAAGAGTTTTAACCCGGGACTAAGCAACTTTCAGAAAAGAGATTTTTTATGCTTTTATGTTTTGTATTTTTGTGTATTTATGTTTTGTATGTCTTTAAAAATTAAAAAAAAATTGTTCAAAAAAAACTGTTTTTAAAAAATGCAAGAGTTGCAATGCTTATCAGTACAAATAACTCTTAGAGGAAGCACTGTAGTTGTCTACATTTTAAGTTTTTGGTACTTTAACCACATTATATTCTAAAATATGTCCTGTGTGTAAAATTAGCAGATCAATCCATTAGCTGACAATAAACATTTACTCTGCCACATTAGTCTACTATCATACCAGAACATTTAGTTTTTATATGTGGAATCTGCTAGATATATTGAGTCTCTATATAAATATGAACTGCTACAGTCTGGAAGATAGAAGATCTTCCAATTCCTTCTTTCTATGATCTGAATATACTGTTTAAGAGCATTTAACAAGAGTAAAGATTGTTTAGACTCTGGCACTGTATTTTTCTAAATAAACTTCATAGTTCTTTTTTCAAGTTTTCAAGCCATGAAAGATTATTCTCACAATTTTCACAAAATGAAGTTCTGGAAGAAATAGTATTTCATTCATAGAAGCAGGGGACAGACAGATAGATATTGATCAATGTGCTGAAACAAGAATGAGGGTTCAGCTAAACACATATCAGTTAAAATACCCTATGAACCAAGAAAAGAAATAAACAGACATGAATTTATTCTAATTCTGTTGCTTTTCCAATTCCCATCAGTTAGCTACAGAAAGTGTTCACTTTCTGTGATCACACTTGGAATACCGCATCCATTTCTGATCCGCACAATACAAAAAACATACTGATACTCTAGGAGTATAGAGAAGAACAACAATGATAGGGATCTGAAGGCTAAATCATATGATGAATGATTAAGGAAACTAGGTATATCTAGTCTAATGAAGAGAAGGACTAGTGGGTCATATGGTAAGCAGTTTTCTAGTATTTGAGGGGCTGATACAGTAAACAAGAAGTTGACGTATTATCCAAAGTACCTGTGGGCAGGACTAAAAGTAATACAAGGAAGATTATTAAAGAGAAATCTAACCTAAAACTAAGGAAAATGGTCTGACAGTGAGTCCAATTAATCAGTGGAATTCCTTGCCTCCAGAAGTTGTAACTGCTCCACCACTAGAGGTTTTCAAGAAGAGACTGGACAGCCATTCATTCAGAATGTTATATGGTCTTCTGCTTGAGGAGCAGCTGGATTACTAGAAGACCACCAAGGTCCCTTCCATCTCTATTGTTCTATGTTGTCATTTCCAGATTGCTCCTTCCCTTTTATAAATGTCTACAATAACATCTCTACTGTGTTTTGTGATGGTTTTGAAAGATGGCAAGACAACAATCAGGGTTCCCCTGCCCCATCTGCTACCTCTCCAGCCTGGATCTCAACAGGGGTAGAAGAGACTCTACCTGACAGGGCTCCAAGACTGTCAGATACCTGGGTCACCTTGAATAGCTGGTAGAACAAATAACAACTCAAAAGTTCATGGTATGGAACTGCACCACTTGTTACTCCTCCTTTGAGTTACTTTTGAAAAATGGTTTACTGCTCTTGCAAGAGAGTTGTGGTCTTTTTTCTAAAAGAGCAGCAAAACCATCTTCAAAAGCAGCCCACACAACAGCTGGCATGTGCAGTAATGGGCAGATACTTGCACTACAAATAATCCAAGAGGGAGGGCGATAGGGGTGAGTGGGAAGAGAGAGATCCTCTGTTTCCCCATGAAACTCTTTGTCAAACACTTCTGATCATCTGCTGTTCTAATTGATCCAGATCTCTGAGATGAGATCTGTTTGAAGAACTGGACTCTCCCACACATCCCACAAGCAGGATGTGTGCAGAGATGTAAGAGACAACAGGTACGCAACTGACAAAATCTCAAGTGAAGCACATAAAATGGTACCCATAATAAAACAACTGAAGTTTTTGCAATCCTTTGGGGAGAGGGAAAATGCCACTTTAATACCAGAACAAGTAAAGAAAATGGTAAGTTGTCTCAAGGCTGGATTGGGGACAAGATGAAGGCAATGGCATGGGGACACTGGGAGGAGACAAAAATGTGTTTGCTAGATCAAATTCTTGATATGGTTATCTGCAAGTGGGAAAAGGCCCAAAGAATAGTTGCTCCCAAATATATATATATATATATTTAAAGTAAACAAGCAAACAGATGAGACTTGGCTAGGTTTATATGAGCACTACCTTATGTTTGGATGTGTTCTAAATATTGCATATGATGTGGTAGGCCAGCCAAAATTTGTAATTAAAAATACATTTCACTTTTGGGAGCTATTCTCGAAGATCCAGGAACTAAACAGACACACCCTTCAATATCCTGATTTAATCACATCCAAGGCATACAAAGGCTTGATTAAAATAGAGAGAACAGCGTTAGAACAAAATTCACAGGGCAATGGACTAATCCATTTTATTAGGACCAAACATTGTTTGCATAATTAGCAATGTTGTTTTTACTGTAGTGATCGGCGCATTAATTGGTAATTGTGAATTCTTCTAACAAGGAATAAAAAATACTTCAAGGATTACTTAAGAAGAAGGGGGTTGGTGCCAAATAGCCAGTATCATCAATTCAGAGTCATGGGTTGGTGAAAAATAATGCCAACCTTCTACCTGTAATGAACTTGCTTTGACCTATTTTAACTATAATTGTTTGAATTACAGACTGTTCTGTGTGCTATTGCTATTTATGTTGATTCAATATGCAGTACTCAGAACTGTCTAAAATGAAAAATAATCTGTTTCTTTGACAAATGAAAAATAGAACTGACATTTCGGGAGAAGCAGGGGGAGGGTTATTCTGACTTCTGAGCATCACAGAAAATATCAAATCCCAATTCACTTTAAATTGAGATAAAGAATTTTAAGAAATAAGGAGAATTTCTTCTATATGCTAACTGCCACCTAAATAACAGTATTTAATTTTTTTTTACATTAGCTAAGAGATGGCATTTCAATCTGAATGATATGATGTCATTTTGTTCAAAATGAATAATATGCAATATTTTGGATTCACATCCCAAAATGTTTGCCATATGCATAGACATATATGTGATTTTGGGGAAAGATGCAGCTATTTTAGAGTTGCAGTTAGATGCTATATTCAGATTACATGTTCCTAAGCATCACTTCGGACACAAATCTGAAGGATCTGGATACCTTTATTAAATATGATCTAACAAATGTTGTGTGCTGCATGAGCTTTGGATTGGACGGTGGTAAATTATTTAGAAGTAAGCCCTATTGACTTCAGGTGAATCTACTTTATTAGAAGATGAATAGAATAAGATTTCAGGTTAAGCCTTTCTTATCTAAACCATTATAAACCATATAAGTAGATCAAGTGCTGCAAATTGCTCTGAGTAAAGAAAATGAGGCATTGAATTATACACATTCTCCATTAATTTCAAAACAAGGGAAGATAATATGACCACTGGTGCTCAGTTCTAAAATAATTATTTAAAATGTGTATTGCCCTGGAAAAATTTAGATAAAGAATCACCAAGAAAATATCTGGGGAGAGTACTTAAAGCCCTCTAGGTTTCAAGAATATTTTTTTTAATTCCAAAGATAGGACTTTAATAAATAAATCAAAGCAGTTGGAATCCACTGGTGTATGTTTAACCTAAGCAATCTGCTTCAGCCATCTGTTCTGAGAAGCTTTAGAAATTATAAGATTCCATGAGCATGGTTAAACTATCAAAGTAAGATTTGTGGCTTTACTGGAGTCACTTCTTCATGGGAACTGCCTGAGGTTCTAGCACTTAAAGCTCTAGCACATTTGGGAACAAGAAAATATCCTACAAGTTTTTGCATCAGAATCATGAACAAAGCTGGATAACAAAAATAAATGCTGCTTTCTTCCCACAGCTGCTTGGAACAATTGTGTGAAAAAGAACTGAATGAAAGCCTACAATGACTGACTTTCACTCAGCAGACTTTCAGCTATTTGATCCAGAGATTTCAATGGCCTTGTCTAGTTGTTTAAGGCAAGAATTGTCCTCATTAGAAATTGACTACCTTTCCCAAACTCTGCAAACCTTCCATTCTCTATGGAATACCAGTCTTGATGTGTTTCCTCTTGAAATGCAGTTGATTTTTAAATAGGTTCTGTGTTCAAAGAAAGACAGCACTGAGCATCACACAAGTGTTTAGTAGATCAAAGCAAATTGTGTTGTAGGCACAGTGTTTGCTGTGTTGTAGTACTCCTCTGATGTGCTGCAATTCCCATATGGTAGATCTGCAAACCTGAAACTAGTTGTAGGTTGGAGAAAGACTACACTGCAATATGCCAATCATAGCCACTTGTCCATTTTTTCTGACTTTTCTGACTTCTTGTAAGTGTTTAACTGGTGTTCCAATGATGACGGATTGAATTTCCAGTTTCTAGCAGTTCAAACCCTTTTTTCAGTTCAATTGCATAAATAGAAGGGATTTTGGTGTTGCATTTTTAAATAAGTAGATGCACACATTATTCTAAATCATAGCCTCATTTAATTACGAATTGTTGAATAACACACAATGGCAAGTTTCAGCATCATATTACAAATAGAAACAAGCTATGTAACTACTTAGTTGCAGTGTGTTAATATTAATGAGGTCTGCTTTCAGGAAAAAATGCATACCACATTATATCTGTGCCCAGTATTCTTTTTTGAACATATCTTAACATTTTCCCTGCTATTTGATTTATCTAATTTCAATTTCCTAAACGTTCTTAAAAGGGTAAGGGGAATATTTCACAAATAACACAGTTACAATATCTCTTTTAAAATTTTAAAATTTAATCATTGTCATCAAGGATTTTAAATTGCATATAACACTGCTTCTTGTACATGATGTTTTTTTTAAAAAAATCTAGTTTAGAAAGAAAAGAAAAAAGAAAAAATACGGACTAGTCCTCTATCGAGAATAATCTGCCACTTTCCAACATAGACATCAAGCTCTTCATACTTTTTGATAAACACGAGTACATTTGACACCATTCAAGACACATTCCTGGAAAATAAAAAGATACATTCATTCTCTTTTTATACACAAATTGTTTGGAAGTAGGATAAGGTAGGTGGATATTTATGATATTTGAAGTAAGTTACATTTCATTTATAGTGTACAAATTTAACATAAAAGTCAGCGAAAATTCTACTTACAACTATCAGTTTCCCATCTTCTATCTTCCTTGTTATTGTGGTTTCTTTGCCATCCCATTGCTGGACCTGGGTCAATACATTGTTGTCATCTAAAGTGATGAGGGTCTATAAAGGGAGACAGAATTTTGGTAGCGTGATCCTTCCTTCATGAATTGGTTTTCAATTTGTCTTGAGGCTGAAGGGAATGAAACTTTGATTTTTAGGCTTCTGATTCTGCAATGTGGGGTATACGATCAAAATCAGAGGCAAACTATTCAGGCACTTCATGTCTGCAACATCTTTCAAGAACTTTTGATTTCTTGATTCTTCTCCACTCACTTTTTTTTATAACATTCTGACCGATGAAGAATTCTGGTGAGGTGATAGCGTGCCCAGTGTTATTTGGCTTCATTCTAATAAACGGGCTACCCAACTATGCATTTTATATCTATTTGTTTAAATGTTTATTACCCAGGGAAAGATTTGCCTAAATACTGCTCTTCCTGCTCATACAAAGTGTTTTTCCTGAGTGACAACTTATTTAAGCTTTGTAACGACTACATGGTTCATCTAACTGCATGCAATATTTGATTAAACACTGAGGAAAATTTCAGCAGGTGCCAAATTTGTATCTATGTGGAAAGTTCCTTTCATCAGATCAAAGGAGACAATACTCTCATACCACTTTAAATATATCTGCTATCTCCAGTTCTCTGTTAGTTTTTTAGTATTATGGCTTCTCTCCAAGCCTGCATCCAATCTTATTCTTAAGCATAACTTGATCCAAGAATTCCACTCCCTACTGACTGACCAAGTTCTTCCCCCCTGAAGGCGAGGGCAGAAAGACAAAACATTCCTCACAAATTCTCCATGAGAACAGCAACACCCTCGGCCATCAGTATATAAGAGGAAACACAAATACAGTTTAAAAACATCAGTGGAAAAATTAAACATATCGTGGAGGTTCTATGCAGCTGTACATTTTTAAACTGTAAAACCTGCAGCAATCTTTGCCAGTAGCTTGAAGAACAGCCAAAAACATTTTGAGCCAAAAGTAGAATATTAAAAGGATGCCCAGAACACCAACTTCTAAATACTTGAAGGATTTGATCACTGTACTTGAGTTTCCACTGTGAGAACGTCTTTGTTCATTATCCCATGATGGACCCAACTAAGTTGTCCCCATTCCTAATCTTAACAGCACTCCAAAATGTGTTCCTTTGACTCATAGTAAAGCCATCTTTCATCATTATGAGATATCTACTCTCAGTGTTCTACAGTTCCCACTGCAGAACTTTTATTTCCATTTTTTCAGCAGAAAAACATATTTGGCTTTTTGTTGTTGTTGTTTAAAACAATGGGTAAATTTGTGCTTTTTGTGGCTAATCTGGAATTGTCACATAATACTCCTCTATTTTACTCTGCTGTGATTGCTGTTTCTGAAGTTTCATGATGGTTGCAGGCTGTAGAGATACTGTGGTTCCTGAAATAATTATTTTTTAAAAAAATAGTAATCACAGACCAACAGAAAATTGCTTTAAATTGTTTCCTATGATCTTAATATAAGGTTATTGATTATTTAATGTATAATAGACTGGAACTGCAACTCTGTAACTGAGATACTTTGCTCATATGTTTTCAACTTGTCCTATATGACCTGCTCATATTAAATTAGATGGTTGGTTTCACTCTGAATTAAAAATTCTTATATTATTCTTGATTATGCAGGTAGTCCTTGGTTAACAATAGCAGCTGAAATTGAAAACTGTGTCACTAAGCCATGTAGTTGTAAAGCATGATGTCACATGACACATGACTATGTGGCAGTTCTGGCACGTTCAGTTGCCATTGTTGAGCAATCAATGCTTAACATGTGGACATTAAGTGTGAAGTTATAATGGTGTTGAATAAGGAAACTTATGATTGATTCTTGTGGCTGTAGCCATCATAGTGTCCCTGCAGTCACATGGTTGTGATTTGGACACTTGGCAACCAGCTTGCAATTATGACAACTGCAGCACCCTATTAGCACATGATAATCATTTGGACTTCCCCATTGATTTTACTTGTTGGGGACTTCTGGTGAAGTACACAGCATGCAGCTAGGGTTTTTATGTGTGGGTGTAGTGGATATTTTGCCTTGCTATGTCTTTTTTCTGTTCTTCATTTGGTATTTTTTGTAGGCTAGTTTGCTATCGGAGGTATTCAGTAAGACTTCATGGTACACTAGTTTCAGTGCATCTTCTGTACCACCCTTCAAATATTCATTCAATGTACTTTCTTCTTCTTCTTTAGCTGTCTGTAGTACTTGCAACATTCCATGCCCACCATGCTCTGGGGGAAAGGCTGTCAACATCACTGTGTGGGTGATTAGCATGATTCATTGTCATGATTTTTCTGATTTTCCTATCCAGGGCATTCAGTTCTGCTTGAGTCCAGTCCACTATTCCAGCTGCGTTCATTTCCTTGATGGCATTTCCTTCACTAAGCTTGGATTTTAAGATCTTCTTCACTTTCCTGTATTCCCTTCTAACCTTTATTTTTACTTTAGTGTGCTTAATATTGTCAGCTATTATTATTATAGTTGGTCACAGTCAGTCAGATATTAGACTGGATTTGATATTTTTATACACTATCAGGTTCTTCTCAAGAACCTGGAATAACAGAAATTATTTGATTATTATTATTATAGACACAAAAATGTGAAATTACAATTATAGTACTTTAGCTGGTGTTGGTCTTCATAGATCAAGTTCTTCCCAAGAATCTAGGATGTCATAATGTATCTATGAAGATCCAAGCACACCTTTTGTAATTGACAGAATGAAATTTTGTCAATGTGCAGATTTTCTAAGTGCCATCCAAGACTGTTTGGTATGGCACTCAGTGTGCTGACCATCACTGGAACCACCACAGCTGGTTTATGCCATAATCTTTCAAGTTTGATTTTTAGATCTTAATACTTTGCAATCTTCTCCCATTCTTTGCCTTGCATTCTACTATTCTTTGGATCACATGTATACTTCTTTCTTTTTAACTACAGTTAAATCTGGTGTTTTATGAGCCAAGGCGTTATCAATTTGTATTTGGAAATCTCACAATATTTTAACTTGCACGCCAAACCATTAGTTTTTTATTTTATTTTATAGCCTTCCTTCCTTCCTTCCAGCCACTTCATGGTCTGTTTCTGTTACTGCCCTCTGGGAGAAGGTTTCAAAGTATCTATCGTAATACTACTAGATTCTGTAACAGCTTTGTTCCTTATGCCATCTGTCTTGTAAACTTGTAAGATTCTTTTTTCTCTCTCCATGTATATGTATCCATTTGAACTAGACTGTGATGTTTCTCTATCATATATGTGTATGTGGGTATAAGCATAATGGTTATCTTTTGAGAGCTGAATGAACCAAAATTTCATTGTACATTTAAAGTGACAATAACGTTTCTATTCTATTCTATTCTTATTGTTGTGTTGTGTTATGTTGGAACTCCAAACTGAACATATATGGTTAACAGACACAACCGTAACTGGACCAGTTTAACCAAACTCATCTGCATTTAGACCACAGATCATAAGAATGATTCACCCAGCACTTGAAAGGTGGCAAATTTCAGAAAACTATGGGATACTAGTAAAAAAATAAATCTACAATACGTGGCATCTAGAAATTGATGCATAATGTAGAAATAGGTTGCTTGAATAATCAGCATTGAAGCATTGAAATTCAGTTAATATATTCAGCACCACTGTCTACCTGATTCTGTGTAAGATCTAAGCCTCATTTCCAAATGCATTAATATGTTTTCAATAAATTACTCTTTTCTACTTCTTCCCGGGCAAATGACACTGCTTATGTAACCACAGTTTCCTGCTCACTCATGTTTTTTCCTCTGTGTGTATAAAAAAAATGACAAATATATACTAGAGCAGAGATCCCCAACTTTGTGGCTATCTACATGCCTGACACTATAAAAAAAGTACCACTTGGGAAGGCTTACTTGGAGACAACTACACAGAAAGTAAATACCACATACAAATTACCCTCAAGCTGATCGGCTCTCCTGGTTTATACAATTGATCCAGGTAAACATAACATTTGTAATGTTCAATCTACAAAACTGTTCTATATTACACATTCTAGAGTTTGAGCTTTATTTCTAAGATTTTTGTTTATTTATTTGTGGCATTGCCTTTGCGGACATATGTAAATTGAGAGTAACGTTATGAGTTTTATCCCCGTATTTTGCAAATGCACCGGCTGTTGAATCTGGCTTAGATTCAGCTCAAAGAGTTAGTTCAGCAGAGCCAGCAGAAGTTGGCTGTAATAATTAAAATGAGCACAAAATGATGGAAGAGTTACATATATCTGTATAGTTGTATACACAAGAATAGTGGAAAAACTCCTGTACATGTGATCACTGATGAATAGAAAAAAGCCTTTTACAATGTGGTGGTGCCTGACCACTGAATATAATATCCACAGAAGCTCTTTACTCCAATGCAAATTCCTTATTTTCCCATACAGATTTAACAGTTTATGGCAATGAGGGCATTGTTTTATGGTCCAGAAACATACTTAACTTCAGGAGCATAAAACTGAAAAACTAGATTTTGGAAGATTAGTTAAAACAACTGGGACAAATTAGCCTTGATCTAAGAACTTGGACCAAACAACATCATACTGAGCCATTAAAAATTTTACTTGAGCATAGATGCACTTTTCTGCCACATGGAGAACAGGAGAATCAATGTTGTTTGCCGTGCAAATGATTCTGCTGGTACTAGTACAGTGGGCATTTTTAAGCATGCAGACAGACCGTAACATCTTAAACTAGTTTCTTCGTGTTACAAAACTCACCAGCACTATTCAGATCAAAACAGCTAAGCATAGAGTTCTTAAACTGGGTGGTAATTGGGACATATCTTGGGAGTAATAGTCTAGTTTGAAAGTAAAGGATCTATTTTGGGACTGCTACTGCCAAGATGACAGAATTTGTATTTTTGTGAAGGTAATGACATTATTCAACTTCAGGAGTCACTGAGCCAAATAGTTAAAAATCAGTTTAGCATGTCATATACTTGGTGTGTTCCCTGGGTTCCAGTCTCATTTACCTGAGTTTTTCGGCCATCTATTGTGTTTTCATCAAATTTTTCATTTAACTTGAAGCTGAATGCTGAAGTCTTGAAAGTGCTTTCAGTTTTGACTGTGAAAGTATCATCATTCTTGGTGATGATAACATCTGGCTTGGCCATATTTCCCATCTTTCTCATTGCCATACCCACGCCTGCCAAAAGGAGAGAGAATTTACTTTTAAATAGGTTCAGCCAAGCACAGTCATTATATAGACACTCGCACACAAGTTTAATTATCTTTTTAATTATCTAGTATGAGAGGGAGTTTTCCAGTCAATGAGCTGACTGCCCCTTCTCATTAAATTTTAATTACACATTGTCCTTGCAAAACTCTGTAAAACTCAACCAAACCTAAACTGAGTTCTGTTCAGAATTAAAATGCTTGTATGGAGAAAAGCACATTCACAAGTCTGCAGTAGGATTGGAACAAAACATTCTACAGTATATCAGTATATTTCTTCTCACTTTAATCTATTACAGCAACTTCTGGTAAGGCAGAGAGAAAAATAAATACGGAGTAATTACTTTGACTCCCATAAACATGAAGTTTGTGTCATTCCAGGAGTCTGGGTTCAACAGATTTGGAGATCACAAAAGTGCCACCTTTCAGATTGGCTTATAGTCCCTAACTGAGTTCTGGATTTTCCTATGTCTAGTCTTAAAGCAGGAATATTGATTAGGAACAGACTTCTTGCATTGCATGTAGCGTGGTGTTCCTAGCTGAGGAACTACATTTTATATATGGTGTACAGACCAATGAAAATGTAATATATTTTAATTTAAATGGGCCCCAGAACTCAGCTCGCAGGGCAATATTTTGGCTACAGAAACCAAATGTATTAAATAATCATCACTGAACTCTATATTTCAATGAAATGATTCCAGAAGGACAGGGAGGAAAAGAAACATTCTAATAAAATAGTCATAAGGAGGTTAATTCTGTACTCTTTCTAGTTTCTATCTCAGTAGGAGTCACTGCAAATGTTGACTAAACTCTGTCATTGCTAGTTTCAGTGTTGTCTTCCTCAGCATGAAGTTACAGGAAAATTGCTCATCTTGCAACATTTCCAGTGCTGCATTAAACTATTTGAAACTCCTAAATATTATAACCATATTACATTCTGTTAATATAGACTCAGGTCAAATGCAAGGAACATAGAGTAGCATATATCATAGAAATCCATTTTTCTAAAGAAGTAATCTTCTTCCCTGGGGGAAATTCAAGAAAAGAGCAACTGTATTCATTTAAAGCCATCCCCGCATGCTCAACTCATTCAGTCCTGTTTTCCTTCTCTTACACACTTTTCATATGCAGCCCATCTGCAATCTTAGTTTGCTCATCAGCTCCATTGAAACAATGTCTGTTTGTGTGCTTGTTATAGAAGCTATTTGAAAATGCCTTTGCAGACCTTGGACAAAGAGCCTTTTTAAGAGCTGAAAAAAGAGTCACAAAGCTTATAATTCCATATTTCCAAACCTATATAGGTTTCCAGAAGGGGAAAAAAAATAAAGCTTTTTCATTATCATCCATCACTGAAACCTAGATGACAAAGCCATATGCGCGTTTTAGTGAAATAGGGCTGCATGCTGAAAAGCACATTTTGCATAGCAACTGAACAGAATGCCAAGTATTGCATACATACAAAACGAGAGAGAGAGAGAGAGAGAGAGAGAGAGAGAGATACTACACATACACCACACACTTTGAGCTACAATCAATATTTGAGCTACAATCAATATTTCATTTTAATCCAAAGCAGCCATTTTAAACAGACAAAGCCATCTCTTTAAAAAAAAGTGATGGGCACAGGGTAGGATGAATTACAGTTTTTAAGGGCAATCCTAGATTTTTTTGGTCAATTGCACTTAGGAAATTCACATGCACCTGGAAGTGCTATCTGCATCTTTGAATAAAACACGTATGCATGATTACAAGAATGGAACATATACATAAGAAAATGTGATGCTGCTGCTTATTTTTATTATTATTATTATTGCCTGCCCTATTTTTCAGACATTCTACCCACGTCCTAAAAATGGTTTTCCCAAGAGGAATCCGAGGTCCTTTGTGAGAAGAAAGGTTAATTTTTCTACTCTTATCATAATTCCCTTCCATCCTTTTTTTCTTTCTTTTTTGACAGCACTCCCAATTCCCTTCCCTTCTTACCTAATTCCTTCATATAATCCTCAAAACCTTCACTGGAGATCAGGCTCCATTTGCCTAAGAAAGCGTCTGCGTTAGCCATTGCGCCGAGCCGGAGATGCTAAGAAGTCGCGCCGCCGGGAAAGAGAAGATCCGAGCTGAGGAGGCTTCACAGAAAAGGCACCAAAGCAAAGCAGAGGCGGAGCAGTGGGGCGCGGGCCGGGGTGCCTTTATATAGCTGTCTTGGGCATGTGCTGCCGGCCAGGGCCAATGGAGAAGAGCGACGTCAGTGCGGTCGCCCTTGCGCTGCGCTTAGCCAGAGGGAAGCTGCGGTTGGCGATGCTGATGCGCAGCGGGGCTCGCCAAGTGGTTGGTTCGCTTTGGAAGGGAAGGTGCACTGCTGAGGGCTCGCTGGAGGGAGAGTCGCGCTGTCGCTGCTGATGCTCGGAAAGGCGCCGGGTATCCCCACCGCAACTCCGTCCCCTTTTCAGTGGCGAGGCCAGCCTGGGTTCCCTCAACTCTGGCGTGGTTGCGCAATTTGCCTTACCTAAACTGTTGGGTTCCCGGGCGGCGGAGGCAAAAGCCCTGCGTCTCTGCTAGCACACGACTTCGTCTCTCCCACCACCACCCCACCCCTCTCATCCCTCCTGTTGCTGTCTGGGATCCCCCAGAAAATCCATTGCCGGCAGTTAAATTAGGGAAGCTGAAAAAATCCTTACCCAATCTTCTACTTCAGCAAAAATTTAAGAATGGAGGAAGGCCGTTCACACTGTAAAAGCTTTATATTCATCCATTCTTTATATCAGAATGGAGGAAGAAAGTTCACACTGCTTTATATTGGATATTGGATGGATCTCAAGACAAGCTATCAACCATTTGTAACCCTAAGCAGCCCCCTAGGTATGGCCAGCTTTTCCAATTCCCCTTTTACTAAAGATCTAGCCTGAAGTACAGGTGAAACTCAAAAAATTAGAATATCGTGCAAAAGTTCATTTATTTCAGTAATGCAACTTAAAAGGTGAACCTAATATATGAGATAGACTCATTACATGCAAAGCAAGATAGTTCAAGCCGTGATGTGTCATAATTGAGATGATTATGGCTTACAGCTCATGAAAACCCCAAATCCACAATCTCAGAAAATTACAATATTGTGAAAAGGTTCAATATTCTAGGCTCAAAGTGTCCCACTCTAATCAGCTAATAAAGCCATAACACCTACAAAGGGTTCCTGAGCCTTTAAATGGTCTCTCGGTCTGGTTCAATAGGAATCAATCATGGGAAAGATTGCTGACCTGACAGTTGTGCAGAAAACCATCATTGACACCCTCCATAAGGAGGGAAAGCCTCAAAAGGTAATTGCACAAGAAGCTGGATGTTCCCAAAGTGCTGTATCAAAGCATATTAATAGAAAATTATGTGAAAGGGAAAAGTGTGGAAGAAAAAGGTACACAAGCAGCAGGGATGACCGCAGCCTGGAGAGGATTGTCAGGAAAAAGCCATTCAAAAGTGTTGGGGACGTTCACGAGTAGACTGAGGCTGGAGTCAGTGCATCAAGAGCTACCACACACAGGATCCTGGACATGGGCTTCAAATGTTGTATTCCTCCTGTCAAGTCGCTCCTGAACAAAAAACAACATCAGAAGCATCTTACCTGGACTAAAGAAAAACATAACTGGTCTGTTGCTCAGTGGTCCAAAGTCCTCTTTCTGATGAGAGCAACTTTTGCATCTCATTTGGAAACCAAGGACCCAGAGTCTGGAGGAAGAATGGAGAGGCACACGCTGCAAGATGCTTGAAGTCCAGTGTGAAGTTTCCACAGTCTGTGTTGATTTGGGGAGCCATGTCATCTGCTGGTGTTGGTCCACTGTGCTTCATTAAGTCCAGGGTCAATGCAGCCATCTACCAGGAGATTTTTGGAGCACTTCATGCTTCCTTCCACAGATGAGCTTTACGGGGATGCTGACTTCATTTTCCAGCAGGACTTGCCACCTGTCCACACTGCCAAAAGCACCAAAACCTGGTTCAATGACCGTGGGATTACTGTGCTTGATTGGCCAGCAAACTCGCCTGACCTGTACCCCATAGAGAATCTATGGGGCATTTCCAAGAGAAAGATGAGAGACATGAGACCGAACAATGCAGAAGAGCTGAAGGCTGCTATTGAAGCATCCTGGTCTTCCATAACACCTCAGCAGTGCTACAGGCTGATAGCTTCCATGCCACGCCGCATTGAGGCAGTAACTGCTGCAAAAGGGGCCCAAACCAAGTACTGAGTACATATGCATGCTTATACTTTTCAGAGGTCCGATATTGTTCTTTGTACAATCCTTGTTTTATTGATTGCGTATAATATTCTAATTTTCTGAGATTGTGGATTTGGGGTTTTCATGAGCTGTAAGCCATCATCATCACAATTATGACAAGTAACGGCTTGAACTATCTTGCTTTGCATGTAATGAGGCTATCTCATATATTAGGTTCACCTTGTAAGTTGCATTACTGAAATAAATGAACTTTTGCACGATATTCTAATTTTTCAAGTTTCACCTGTAGGTGCTGAGGAAGTCGAATGCTACTATGAGTTAAAGCTGTAAAACCTGTTACTAGCAGGTGCAATAACCAGTTTAGATTCCAAGTGACTCAGCTATGACTGGCCAAAACTATCTATGTTGGTGGAGATTCTGCTTCCTTGAATACCAGCTTTTTTACTGGTGGTGGTGGGGAGCAACTAGTAGTAAAAGAGAATTGTTACTTATTTGGCTAACCTCTGAATGCCCCTTGGTGGCCAAGACTGACTTATTACAAAACACTGAATTCACACTGACTTTTATTCTATCCTTCTTGTGGAAGCTGTTTTTTGAACCCACATCTTGTGCTTTGAAAGAGCAGAACTGGTGTGACACCTATTATACTACAGCTCTTACTTAAATGCACACATATGTGAAGCAGGGGTGGGATTCAAAATTTTAACAACCAGTCCTGTGGGCATGGCTTAGTTGGTGGGCATGGCTTGGTGGTCATGTTATTGGCTGGGCGTGGCCAACTCAATATCACTCACATCAAGGCACGCATCTCCCCTCCTCTGATGACAACAGTCCTAAGTATGAAAAACAGTCATAAGTCACTTTTTTCAGTGCCATTGTAACTTGGAATGGTCACTCCACACAAGCAAAGTACCAGCAAAGGAGGGGAAAATAACTCCAGAGAAGTTCCAGAGACAGGAAGTCTAGTCCTGCCAAGAATGTAATAAGGGTTAACGGAGAGGCAGTTTCTGTAAGCAACACCAGAATGTTTCCTTCCTATCTTCCTTACAGAATTAGGCCAGTAATTTCTTCTAACAACCGGTTCTCTGAACTGCTTTGAATGTTAACAACCGGTTCTAGCAAATAGGTGCGAACTGGTAGAATCCCACCCCTGATGTGAAGATTATAGAGTTTGTGGCATGATGCTGTTTTCATCACTCTGGCAAAAAGAGCCCAAACCTGTGGATGCCACAGCTATGCAGGTGTAGGAAACAGCATTCTTCATTTGCCTGAGACCTCCTGCATTAGTACATATAGGAGGATGTGGGTGCTGCTTTCTGAAAGAGAGCAAATGCCTGCAGGCAGCTCTATATATTTTTTAAATGTGAGGAATGTTGTTCAAATTTCTCTGTTGCTTTCTTTAATGTATAAATTATTCTTTGTTTATCAAGGGTCTGTCCTGTTTATGTTAAAAGCAGTATGCAGCAGCAGCCAGAAAAGCAAATACAATCCTGGGTTATATAAATAGAAGTATCAAGATCATGTGAAATATTGGGGCCACTTGATAAAACCCTAGTAAGACTAGCTGGAATACTGGAGTTGGCTGGAATACTGCAGCCAATTTTGGACATCATACTACAAAAAAAAAAAAGATGCTGAGAGTTTGGAAAAAGTTCAAAGAAGAGCAACTAAGATGATCAAAGGTCTGGAGACTAAACCATATAAAGAACAACTGCAGGTTTTGGGTTTGGCTAGTCTAAAGAAAAGAAGAATTAGGGGTGGTGTGATAGCAGTATTCCAGTATTTGAGGGGCTGCCACAAAGAAAAAGGGGTCAAATTATTCTCCAAAGCACTGGAGGGTAGGACAAGAAACAATGGTTGGAACTAATTAAAGAGAGAAACAACCTTGAATTAAAGAGAAACTTCCTAACAGGGAGGATGATTAACCAGCGAACAGCTTGCCTGTAGAAATCATGGGTGCTCCATCACTGGAGGTTTTTAAGAAAAGACTAGACAGTCACTTATCTGAAATGGTATAGGTTCTCCTGCTTGACCAGAAGACCTCCAAGGTCCTTTCCAGTTTCTGTTCTGTTCCGTTCCGTTCTGTTCTGTTCTATTCCATTCCATTCCATTCCATTCCATTCCATTCCATTCCATTCCAT